CGTGCGTGCGTCTGTGCGTGGTGTGTGTGTGGTTGTGCGTGTGTCTGTGTGTGTATGTGTGCGTGGTGTGTGTGGTGTCTGTGTGTGTGTCTGTGTGTGTGTCTGTGTGTGGCGTGTGTGTCTGTGCGTGTGTCTGCGTGTGTCTGTGCGTGTGTGTGTGTGTCTGTGTGTGTCTGTGTGTGCGTGGTGTGTGTGCGTCTGTGCGCGCGTGGTGTGTGTGCGTGTGTTTGTGTGTGTGTGTCTGTGTGTGGTGTGTGTGCGTGTGTGTGGTGTGTGTGTGTCTGTGTGTGTGGTGTGTGTGTGTGTCTGTGTGTGTGTGTCTGTGTGTGTGTCTGTGTGTTTGGTGTTCGTGTGTGTCTGTGTGTGTGGTGTGTGCGTGTCTGTGTGTGTGTGTGTCTGTGTGTGTGTCCGTGCGTTTGTGTCTGTGTGTGTGTGTCTGTGTGTGTGGTGTGTGTCTGTGTCTGTGCGTGTGTCAGTGTGTGTGTGTCTGTGCGTGTGTGTGTGTGTGTGTGCGTCTGTGTGTGTCTGTGTGCGTGTGTCTCTGTGTGTTGTGTGCGTGTGTGTCTGTGTGTGTGCGTGGTGTGTGTGTGTGTCTGTGTGGGTGGTGTGTGTGTCTGCGTGTGTGTGTGTGTGTGTCTGTGTGTGTGTCTTTTTGTGTGTCTGTGTGTGTGGTGCGTGTGTGTGTGTGCGTGTCTGGTGTGTGTGTGTGTGTGTGTCTGTGTGTGTCTGTGTGTGTGTGTGTGTCTGTGTGTGTGTGTGTGTGTGTGTCTGTGTGTGGTGTGTGGTGTGATAGGCGTGTGTGGTGTGTGTGGTGTGTGTGGCGTGTGTGTGTGTGTGTCTGCGTGTGTGGTGTGTGTGTGCCTGTGTGCGTGGCGTCTGTGTGTGTGTGTCTGCGTGTGTGGTGTGTGTGGGTGTGTGTGTCTGTGTGTGTGGTGTGTGTGTGTGTGTCTGCGTGTGTGTGTGTTTGTGTGTGTCTGTGTGTGGTGTGTGTGTGTGTTTGTGTGCGTGGTGTGTGTGTGTGTGCCTGTGCGGTGTGTGTTGTGTGGTGTGTCTTGTGTTCGTGTTGTTCTGTTTTGGTGTGTCCCTGTGTGTGGTGTCCTGCGTGTGTGTGGTTGTGCGTGTGTCTGGGTGTGTGTTGCGGTGTGTGTGTGGTGTGGTGGTGGTGGTGTGTGTGGTGTGTGTGTGTGTCTGTGCGTGTGTGGTGTGGTGTGTGTGTCTTTGTGCGTGGTGTGTCTGTGTGTGTCTGTGCTGTGTTCTGTTGTGTATGTTGTCTGTGTTGGTGTCTGTGTGTGGTGTGTGTGTTTGTGTGTCCTGTGTGTGGTCTTGTGTGTGCGTGTGTGTCTCGTGTGTGGGTGTTGTGTGTGTTTGTGTGTGTCTGTGTGTGTGTCTGCGTGTGTGTGTGTTTGTGTGTGTCTGTGTGTGGTGTGTGTGTGTGTTTGTGTGCGTGGTGTGTGTGTGTGTGCGTGTCTGTGTGTGTTGTGTGTGTGTGTCTGCATGTGTGTGGTGTGTGCGTGTCTTTGTGTGTGGTGTGTGTGTGTGTCTGCGTGTGCGTGTGTCTGTGTGTGTGTCTGTGTGTGTGGTGTGGGTGTCTGTGTGTGTGGTGCGTGTGTGTGTGTGTCTCTGTGTGTGTGTGGTGTGTGTGTGTCTGTGCGTGTGTGTGTCTGTGAGTGTGTCTGTGTGTGTGGTGTGTGTGTGTGTCTGTGTGTGTGGTGTGTGTGTCTGTGTGCGTGGTGTGTGTGTGTGTCTGTGTGTGCGTTTCTTTGTGCGTGTCTGTGTGTGTTGTGTGTGTGGTATGTGTGTGTCTGTGCGTGTGTGTGTCTGTGAGTGTGTCTGTGTGTGTGGTGTGTGTGTGTGTCTGTGTGTGTGGTGTGTGTGTGTCTGTGTGCGTGGTGTGTGTGTGTGTCTGTGTGTGCGTTTCTTTGAGTGTGTCTGTGTGTGTGGTGTGTGTGTGTGTGTCTGTGTGTGTGGTGTGTGTGTGTGTGTGTCTGTGTGTGGTGTGTGTATGTGTGCGTGTGTCTTGTGTGTGGTGTCTGTGTGTGTTTGTGTGTGTCTGTGTGTGTGTTTGTGTAAGTGTTTTTGTGTGTGTGGTTTGTGAGTATGTTGTTGTCTGTTGTATGTGGTGTGTGTGTGTGACCGTGTTCTGTGTGTGTACTGTGTGTGTGTGTGTCTGTGTGTTGTGTCTGCGTGTTGTCTGTAGTGTGTGTTGGTAGTCTGTGTGTTGTTGGTGTGTGTGGTGTGTGTGTGTGTGTCTGTGTGTGTGGTTGTGTGTGTGTTCTGTGTGTGTGTGTCTGTGTGTGTGTCTGTGTGTGTGGTTTGTGTGTGTGTGTGTCTGTGTGTGTGTCTGTGTGTGTGTCTCTGTGTGTGTGGTGTGTGTGTGTGTGTGTCTGTGTGTGTGGTGTGTGTGTCTGCATGTGTGGTGTGTGTGTCTTTGTGTGTGTCTGTGTGTGTGTCTGTGTGTGTGGTGTGTTTGTATGTGTGCGTGGTGTGTGTGTGTGTGTCTGTGTCTGTGTGTGTCGTGTGTGTGCCTGTGTGTGTGTCTGTGTGTGTCTGTGTGTGTGGTGTGTGTGTGTGTGGTGTGTGTGTGTGTGTGTGTCTGTGTGTGTGTGTCTGTGTGTGTGTGTCTGTGTGTGTGGTGTGTGTGTGTGTCTGTGTGTGTGGTGTGTGTGCGTGTGTCTGTGTGTGTGGTCTGTGTCTGTGTGTGGTGTGTGTGTCTTTGTGTGTGTGTCTGTGTGTGTGTCTGTGTGTGTGGTCTGTGTATGTCTGTGTGTGTGGCGTGTGTGTGTGTCTGTGTGTGTGGTGTGTGTGTGTGTCTGTGTGTGTGTCTGTGTGTGTGTGTCTGTGCGTGTCTGTGTGTGTCTGTGTGTGTTTGTGTCCGTGTGTGTGTCTGTGTGTGTGTCTGTGTGTGTTTGTGTGTGTGTCTGTGTGTGTCTGCGTGTGTCTGTGTGTGTCTGTGTGTGTGTGTCTGTGTGTGTCTGTGTGTGTCTCTGTGTGTCCGTGAGTGTCCGTGTGTGTCTGTGTGTGTCTGTGTGTGTTTGTCTGTGTGTGTGTGTGTCTGTGTCTGTGTCTGTGTGTGTCTGTGTGTGTGTCTGTGTGTGTGGTGTGTGTGTGTGTGTGTGTTTGTCTGTGTGTGGTGTGTGTGTGTGTCTGTGTGTGTGGTGTGTGTGTGTCTTGGTGTGTTTCTGTGTGTGTGTGTGTCTGTGTGTGTGGTGTGTGTGCGTGTGTCTGCGTGCGTGGTGCGTGTGTGTGTGTCTGTGTGTGTGGTGTGTGTGTGTGTGTCCGTGTGTGTCTGTGTGTGTGTCTGTGTGTGTGTCTGTGTGTGTGGTGTGTGTGTGTGTTTCTGTGTGTGTGGTGTGTGCGTCTGTGTGTGGTGTGTGTGATCGCTGTGTCTGTGTGTGTATGTGTGTGCGATATTGTGGGTGTGTGTGTCATGTACTATTGTGTGTTTGAGTTGCGGTGCGTGTGTGGTGGTTGTGTAGTGGTGGTGTGTATTGTGTGTGTGTCTGTTATGTTGTGTGTATGAGGAGTGGGGTTGTTGTGTACTGTGTGTGTGTCTGTGTGTGTGTGTATGTGTGGCGTGGGTGTGTGTGTGTGTGTGTATGTGTGTGGTGGTGTAGTATGTGTATGTATTGGTGTGTGTGTGTGGTCTCTCTGGTGTGTATGGTGGTGTATGTGTGTGGTGGTGTGTGTTGTGTTGGGGTGTCGTGTGTGTGTTGTGTGTGTCTGTGTGTGTCTGTGTGTGTGTCTATGTGTGTGTGTGTTTGTGTGTGTGTGTGCGTGGGTGTGTGTGTCTGGTGTGTGGTGTGTGTGTGTCTGTGTGTGTGGTGTCGTGTGTGTGTCTGTGTGTGTGTGTCGGTGGTGCTGGTGTGGGTTGTGTGTTGTGTGTCTGTGTGTGTGTTTTCTGTGTGTGGTGTCTGTGTGTGGTGTGTGTTGTGTGTGTGTGTGTGTGTGTGTCTGTGTGTGTGTGTGTGTCTGGTGTGGTGGGTGTGTGTGTGTCTCTTTGTGTGTGTCTGTGTGTATGTGTGTGGTGTGTGTGGTGTGTGTGTGTGTGTCTGTGTGTGGTGTGTGTGTGTGTCTGTGTGTGTCTGTGTGTGTGTGCCTATGTGTGTGTGGTGTGTGTGTGTGTCTGTGTGTGTGGTGTGTGTGTGTGTGTCTGTGTGTGTGGTGTGTGCGTGTGTCTGTGTGTGTGGTGTGTGTGTGTGGCGTGTGTGTGTGTGTGTGAGTGTGTCTGTGTGTGTTTCTGTGTGTGGGTGTGTGTGTGTCTGTGTGTGGTGTGTGTGTGTCTGTGTGTGTGGTGTGTGTGTGTGTGTCTCTCTGTGTGTGTCTGTGTGTAGGTGTGTGGTGTGTGTGTGGTGTGTGTGTGTGTGTCTGTGTGTTGGGTGTGTGTCTGTGTGTGTGTCTGTGTGTGTGTGTGTCTATGTGTGTGTGGTGTGTGTGTGTGTGTCTGTGTGCGTGGTGTGTGTGTGTGTGTGTGTCTGTGTGTGTTGACGCGGGGCCTATAAAGGCTAAAAAGAAGCCCCAAAGGGCTCAGACCCCACTGAGGGGCCAAAGCCACAAGGGGCCATCCCAAGACAGGGGGCGGGCCACAAGGGATCCCGAGAGCCCAGACGAGCCGCAGAAGGCGGCCACCAGGGCACATCGGCCCCGAGGCACCGCTCGGCCTGTCAGCTCACACCCCCGTCGAGGGGCATCAGCGCGAAGCGCTGGAATATATACAGCAGTGCAGACACGCGACGGGCGACGCCCCAAACATGCTTGCACAGCCCCAAGCGGCACGGCGAGAAAGGCGAGGCGCAGAAAGCATCGCGCCGACACGCCGAGGCCCGCGGCCACAAGGGGTCCAAGGGGACGGGCAGACAGGAGACGGACGCGGAGGGAGGACAGGAGGAGAGGCAGGCTGGCGCTCCACAGCCAGGAGCGCCCAAGGCTCGGCCCGCGCACGTTCGCGCGGCCCGAGCGCCCCAAGGCTGGGGCCAGCGCGGACTCAATCTCCTCCATCACGGTCATCTCTGCGCCTCTTCCTGCTCTGGCGCTCACGACGGGCCTCGCCGGCCTCCTCAGCCCAGCTCAGCAGGCTCTCCTCGTCGAGGCCGTAAGCATCCAGCCAGGCCTGCCGCGATCCCGCTCCTGCCGCGGCGACGCCAGCCCCAGCGGGCAGCTCTGACGAGGAGGAGGCCGCAGCGCCAGCGCCGCCCCGAGCAGCGTCTGCCGCCGAGGCGTTGCCCTCGACTCCTGCTGGGGCATCAGGCTGGACCCCGAGCCGCTGCAGGAAGCGCACCCTGGCGCCCAGTGGTACCTCAGCCTCCTTGCGAAGGCGGGGGGCCTCCGCCCCCTTCCTCCGCGCGTCGCGGGCGTGTGGCGTGCCCCCAGGGTGGAGGCCACGCCCCCACCGCGACTTCTGGTCCCGCAGCGACCTGGGGAGGCCCGTTGAGCCAGGACAGCGCTCCCTGAGCGTGGGCTGCGGGCCAGGGCGTGCGCCAAGCCTCGCATACGCTCCGCACCTGGTGCGCGCAATGATCTCCTGCTGGTCGCCGTCCTCACCGCACCTGGCGCACGCGAGGGCGTGCCCCGCGACGGCGAAGACCAGGGCGCCCAGCGCTACTCCTCCGTCGCGCGCTGCCGGAGCCCAGGCGCCGACAGCGGCGGGGCGGCCGCCAGCCTGTTCCCCGCGGGCCCCCACGGCGGCGGGCGGGGCGCCCAATCCGTTCGCGGGGGCCGCCCGCGGGCCGTCAGCACACTCCTCCAGCGGGACCGCGAAGGTGACCGCAGTCCTCCGCTCGTCGCCCTCAGGAAGGCCCTCGCAGTCCTTGGAGCCCCTGTCCTGCCAGACGATCGAGGCCTGCTCGATCCAACTGGGGAGCTCTCTCACGACCTCCATCGCGCCGAAGAACTCCCGCCTGGCCGCCGCGCTGACCCTGTGGAGGGCCGCCCCCGCCTTCGCCAACCTGTCGGCGTGGCCGTTCCCAGGCAACTGAAACTCCGAGATCCTGCCCTCGCGAACATCGATATCGGTGCAGTGGGCCGCCACCTTGTTCACAATGAGCGAGTCGACGTCCAGCGAGGCGTAGACGGCCGACCACAGGTGTGCATTGGGCTTGTTGGCAGCCGTCGCATACTTCTTGCCAAGCTTCAAGCAGCTGACTGTGGACGCGCAGTCGATGTTGATCTCGATGATCGAGGGCCCGAGGTAGCGGCTCAGCATGCAGACCGCGGAGTCCTCGCCGTCCTTCGCCGTCTGGAAGGGGCACAGGTCGAGGCGGACCGTGCTGTACACTGCCGCCTCCAAGTTACCGAACTCGTCGCGCTGCACGATACTCGAGCCAGCCCTGCGAATGCACTCGAACTCAGGGTCGAGCGCCGAGCCGTCGAGGAAGAGGCGGCCGCCTAGCAGCCCGTCGGCAGGCCTGTTCACCCACATGACTGCCATAGCGTCCGACCTCCAGGCCGTCTGCGGGGGCTGCGGCAGCCAGCACCTGGAGAAGCACCCCCCCGCTTCCTCACCTCGCTGCCTCACTCTAGTGGCGCAGCGGTGGAGGCGGGCTGGCACCGAGTCCCTCCTCTCAGCGGCCAGGGCTTGGCACTCGAAGAGCCTGTGCCAGAGGCTGCCACGCACTTCGCCGCAGGCGCAGCATCGAGGGCGGCCCCGCTCTCCAGCCGCGAAGAGGCGAGTCTGGGGCCAGTGGGCGTTGGACACGTGGCTCACCACCGCGGCCTTCTCCCCGCTGCTGAACCTGCCGCGCGGCCCGATGACCTGGCCGAGCGCGTCTCAAAACAAGGGCATGGAGGGGGCGGCTCCGTGCCCAAGCCCCGTCATCTCAGCTCTGTCAGAGGCCCTGCGTGCACCTGCCGCAGCCAGCAGCCCGAGCTCGCGGGGGCCCATGATTAGCATGTCCAAGGTGTGGCCGTCATCGGCGTGGAGGAAGTGCCCAGCCGAGAGGCGCCACCCAACCCGCAACAGAGAGAGGGCCAGGGCGTCGACTGGGTTCTTGCAGTTCACCCAGGGCACCCTGGCGCTGCCGTGCCTGCGCTCGGCCTCCTCCAGGCAGGTCGCGAACATCCTCAGGGGCACCTCGCCCGTCTGAAGGAGGCTGGCTGCCACCTGCACAGCGGCGCGCACCAGGGCTGGGCTCAGGTCCAGGTCGGTGGAGCGCTGCACCTCGATCGCCGTGAGCCTCAGCCCAAGGGAGGCGCCATTGGGAAGCTTCCCTGCCGAGCGCGCAGCCGCCAGGCGCCAGGAGTGAAGCTCGCCGTCCGGCACCCCAGTGACCGTCCTGCCCCACAGCATGGCGGCGGTAGGGCCAGCGCGGTGAATGTGCACCACCGCGGCCCCCGCCGAGCCCAGGATTCTCAGCCGCCTGGCGCGGGGAAGGCCTCCCACAGCGCGGGCACCTCCCTCATGGACCCCTCTGCGGGTCACGTTGGCGTCGGTGCCCGAGTTGCGGGCCTGGGAGCCACGCTTGACCTCGAAGCCGAGGGCGGCCCAGCTGGCGACGAGGCCGTCCGCAACCTGTGCAGACGAGGCCAGGAAAACCGACTTGCCCTCGTTGAGCGGGAGGTGGTGGGCCCGCAGGTGTCGCAGCACCTCCCCGCTGGCCCCCGCGAGCTGGTCCACGACCAGCCTCGCCGAGCCGACAGCTTGGAGCGAGACGTCGTCCACCAAATTGCGCAGGGTGGCAAGAGGCCGATGAGCCCCAGCAGCGAGGAGGCCTCCCAGAAGGGGAAGCTTCGCAACAGCCGTCGCACACGCGCAGCCCGCCAGCACTGCGCCACTGGCCTCAAAGGGGGCCGAAGCCATGCCACCTGCCAGCACGATCCGCGGGGCCTGGTAGATGGCGAGGGGGCCGCGCAGCAGCTTCAGGTTGAAGCCGAAGCGCTGGGCTGACGTCCAGAGGACGTCGTGGCGCACGTGCTCGTAGAACTTGCGGATGTCCAGGAACAGGCTGGCCACCTCGAAGTGCGGGGAGGCCATCGCGAAGCCCGCGAAGCAGTTGTGGATCCAACCCGCTCTTTCGCAATCACTGCCATCGCGACCCCAGAAGAAGGAGAAGCTGTGGTCGGACCCCCATCGGGCACAGCGCGGCTTCCTCAGGCGAGACCACAGCCGCAAGGCCAGCGGGAGCAGCGCGATGGGCTTGGTCCCTCCGTCGGCTTTAAGAATAAACACCATGAGCGTCACCTGTCCCCTGATCGAGGAAGGCTCGTCCTCGAACGCCGTGAGGATGTCGATCAGGCGAAGCTGCAGCGCCACTGGCAGCAGGAGAAGCTGGCGAGGGTGCAGGTTGTCGCAGCCCAGCCCCACAGACGGGCCGTAGCGCTGGCATGCCTGCTGCAATGCCTCCAGGGTGATGGGCGGCAGCGTCCAGGATCCAACATCCCACTGGTGGGCTCCGACTCCGCTGGAGAAGCCTTCCTGAAGCCAGAGCCGTTGCCACGTGCGCGTGAGCTGGTCAACGGCGTCCATGCCGACGAGGGGCCTCCCTGTGTCGGCGTCCCTGACTAGAGGCGCGGGAGCCGCCTTGGAGAAGCGGCGGGCCAGGCGGCCTCCTTTCTCCACCGCCGTCTGGGCCCAACTGCGCCAAGCGGCAGCTCCTTCTGCGGCATCGCGCCTCTGGGACGCCAGGAGCCACGACTGTAGCTTGGCGATCCCCGTGGGGCAGCCCTTCACCCCCGCGTGGAAGGCGAGGTCCCCCCATTTCACGTCGGACGCCCCGGGGAGGGGCGCGCTCCGAAGGCAAGCCTCCCCCTGGGTCGCCTCGTCCAGGAGCTTCGCCCTCGCCGCAGCCTGCTGCTCATACCACCAGGAGTGGGTCGGGTGCCACCTGCTGGCCTGCTCTGCGCGAAGCCTCTGGAGGGCGACCGCCAGGCAGCTCCTCAGGCGGTGGGTCAGCATGATGTACTTCAGCCTGGCCTCGCGCTGAAGGGCATGCGCCTGGTCTTGGGCCCTGCCGCTCGCCCAAGGTAGCGTGGCAGGTCGCCTGGCGCAATCTCGTGGATGCCCGTGAGGGTACCCTCCGCCGCCTCGATCCACTCGCCGAAAGCAGCAGAGAGGCTGGTCGGGCACGAACCTTGAGCCCACGACCAAGCTACATCCTTCTGCGACACCTTCCCGCGCTTGCCGACAGTGAAGGCCTGGACCACGGCGTCCTCGCGGGAGCACACGCCCTTGACCTCCACTTCTGGGAACCGAGCAGGACGGGAGGGCACCTCGACCAGGGCATCGCACCTGGCGTCTTGGAGGCGCAGCAGCACTGGAGAGTGCGGGTGCAGCCCGAAGTCGTTGAGCGTGGTCGCGCAGGACACCGTGCACGTGGCCAGGTCGGACGAGGCGACGAACCAGTCGTAGACGTGCTCCAGGTTTGGGCAACGCAGGTCGCTTCAGAGGGTCCGAGCACCTGACCGCGAACCGCTGCAGGCCAGCCCAGCTCCTGCAGGGGCTCGGGCTCCATGTTGAAACCCGCCTGGAGGACCCAGGGCAAGTCGAGCGAGAATGCCACGAGGTCCGAGACCGAGGAGAAGAGGTCGAGGTTGATCCCCCGCGGGCCCAAGGAGTGCTGGAAGTACCCAGCCAAGGCCAGGAGACGGAGGCCCGACGGCGCCGTCACCTCGACACCGATGAGGCGGTGGCGCAGGGCCGCAGGGAGCTGGCATGCTGACTCCTCGGCCTGGGGTCCAGCCCTCACCAGGATCGCGACGCCGCCCGACGTAGCGTTCGGGCCAGGCTGGCCCGTCGCCACCGCCTCATGCCCTGGCCCCAGGGAGCCGTTCCTGGGTTAGCCGCGTCTCCTGAAGGAGGACCAGCTGCGGCCAGTACTGGTGGGCGTGGAAGAACGGCCTCGAGGACCTCGGCGCTCCTGTTCCAGACGTCACCGCTGCAGCCCAGGACCTCCAGGCCAGCACGCAGGGGGCAAGGTCCTCGAGGGTCAGACTCAGGGGCTGGCTGTGGCCCGAGGCGAACCTTGCCAATGCAGGCCTCCTGCGCCGTTATCCTCGTCCTCTTGTCACTTGGCACCTTGGCTGCGCTGCGCCCGTCAATGGACTCCCCCACCCGCTCGCCAGCGGCCTCGACGGCGCGCGGGGGGGTGAGGGGCAACGGCCACCCGCCCGTCGGCGGCCCTCATCGCTCCCCCTCGGCCAGGTGCCGCACTCGCTGGTTCGCCCAGGCCCTGGGGACGGCATTGGGCTCCCCACTCCACTGGCACCTGCTCGCTCAGGCGCCGTCTGACCCTTCTGCTGTCAACCGACCACTGGCCTGCCGAGTCGACGTCAAACCCGACGCCGACCAACATCAGCATGGCCACCAGCAGCAGTAGCCAGCGGCTGGTCGTCGAGGAGGGCTGCCCCAGCGTTGGCCAGGTCCCTAGCCAGCGGCTGGGCTGAGGGCCGCGCTCCGTGCGCCTCTCCTCGGCGCGCTGCTTGGCCGCGCTCGGCCGCGTCCTGCAGAGGGGGGGCCGAAGACGCCCGCGCCCGCTCCTCCTCATCTCCGTCGAGGTCCTCGTCCGAGACGTCGAGGGGGGTGTCGGCCCAGGATGAGCGTCCCCTGGCCTCGGGGGGGGGGGGGGGGGCATGCCTGCGGACCGCAGCAATCTGCTTGGCGACCTCGGCGAAGGCGGCCTCCCCATTGCCCGCGGCGAAGCCCTGGGGCAAGGCCTCGACCTGCTGGATGAGGCCGTGGACCATCCCGAGCAGGTCCGTGCCGACGAAGGCCGCGCCGACCTCCTTGGCCTGTCTGGCCTCTGCGGCCCTCTGATCCTCGCGGTGAGCCTCGAGAGCAGCACGGCACTCCTCGACCGCCTCTGCACATGCGGCCTCGCGCGCGATGGCCGCCTCACGTTCTCCGATGGCTGCCGCGTGGGCCTCCTCAGCTTTGAGCAGCGCCTGCTCCTTGGCCCGCCCCTGCCTGACCAACTTCCCCAGGGCGTTGCCCCGTGGGGCGCCTTGGGCAGGGGGGTGTCGGCCTTCCTGCGCTCCGCCTGCGCCGCCTCGGCAGGCGCCGCTCTCGGTCGATGGCCGCGCGCAGCGACTGCAGGCACCCCTCGTCGATGGACCCGCCAGGGGCCGCGAGGAAGTCCTCGATGCGCTTGACCTCCAGGCGGTGCTGCTCGACGGCCGACTGCTGCCCGCTGCTGGCCTCGCCGACTCCTGCCTGGCTGGCGGCCCCAGCGCTTGCCGCGCGGGCAGCCGTGCGCTTGGCCTGGCGCCTCGCCTTCCTCCCACGGGGCTGGACGACGAAGCCCTCGGCGTCGGCGACGGGCGGCTCCTGGCCGGCGGCAGCCGCGGGCGGCTGGGCTGCCTTGACCCACGGCGGGGCCACACGGTCGCAGCCGCGGCACTTCCAGAGCGAGCACCAGTTCCACTCCCTGCACACGCCGCTGGAGCAGACCCAGTATCTCCAGCTGCCCTTGGCCTTGCCGCCCGCCGCGGCGCTGGCCCAGGAGCGGCCCCCAGCTGCCTGCCCGTAGGCCACCATGGCAAGGCTGATCCCGACGTATGGCCTCGCGGCCCAAAACTGCGGCCTCGCGGCCCGTGCTGTCGGCATGAAGAACAATCACTTGTGAGCTGGCCCAAAGAGAAGAGCCCCTCGCGCTCAGAGCGCCGCGGACGACTCGCGGTCGTCGGGTGCTCCATGGCCTTGAGCCAAAATGGCTACGGAGTGTGTCTGTGTGTGGTGTGTGTGTGTGTGTGTCTGTGTGTGGTGTGTGTGTGTGTGTCTGTGTGTGGCGTGTGTGTGTGTGTGTCTCTCTGTGTGTGTCTGTGTGTGTATGTGTGTGGCGTGTGTGTGTGTGTGTGTCTGTCTGTGTGTGTGTGTCTGTGTGTGGGTGTGTCTGTGTGTGCGGTGCGTGGGCCCCCATTCAGCGAAGGCTACGCCACGCTGTCGGAGCTCCGCGGAGGCTCCGCCTGCAGCCCGCCGAGGCCCCGCGCGGGGGCCGCCCGACGGCCATGCGCGGCCGCGCCCCCGCCGCGGCGCGCGCGGCACGCCTGCCGCGCCCCGCCGGCGCCTCGCCCCCGCCGCAGGCGCCGGCCGGCCTCTCGCACCTGCCACGCAGCCTCCTCCTCCTCCTCCCTCCTCCTCCTCTCCTCCCTCCTCCTCCTCCCCCTCCTCCCCTCCTCCTCTCCTCCTCCCCCCCTCCTCGTCCTCCTCCTCGTCCCCTCCCCCTCCTCCTCCCCCTCCTCGTCCTCCTCCTCCTCCTCCTCCTCGTCCTCCTCCTCCTGCCCTGCCCTTCCCCCGCCCTGCCCCGGCCTGCCCCCAACGGCACCGTAACGGGTACTTTGACGAACCAACAACACACACCCGTACCCATAGGGGGATCGGAGAGGGCTATGGGTGCGCGTTGTCGGATGGGTCCCCGCTCGAACGGGAGCGTTCCCCAGGGTCCGACAACCCGCACCCGTACCCATAGCCAGCCCTCCTCCCAACGACCCCCCTATGGGTATGGGTGCGTGTTGTCCGTTCGTCGTACTTGCTAACGGGTACTTTGCAATGTTGCCGAGAGTTGCCACTTTCGGGCCTCTTTCTGGCAATGAAGCGTTGCCCGCATCGGGAAGGGTTGGGTTCGCTGGGTCACTGGCCAAAGTACCCGTCAGTGGAGTCCCCGTTTGATGGGCGCTGTGCTGACCAGGACATGCTCGCGTCGCGAAACAAAACGCGATGGGAGAGTGGCCGTTTTCAGCCTATGGGGGCCCTCGCCAGGCCCCGGGGCCGTCAATAGGAAGGACTCGCGATGAAAATGTGCCCGGGGAGAGGGTCGGGATTTCCAGGGGTCGCACCAAAAAAAAGGCATCGCGTGTTTGAGGAGGGGGCAACAGCCCGCTCTGGTCTTGCAAGACTCCGTCTCAGGAGCCCGCATCCACCTTTTGGGGCAACGTTTTTTTTCCCCGCACGTTTCGTGGGGTTATGGCCTTCTTCCCTGCCGCGTCGCACCCGCGCCTCACACCCGCACACCCGCACACCCGCACACACCTCCCTCTCCCGCAAAGCGTGGCAGACGTGACATGCATACATACATACACAGGCACACCGACACAGACACATACACACATACACACAGACACACACAGACACACACAGACACAAACACACATACACACATACACTCCCTCACGCACGGCACGTACATGAGACACGCGTAACACACTTCACAACACAGCGCATCGCAGCATAACACAGCGCTGCTCAGCACAGCTCAGCTCGGCACGGCACAGCACAGCACAGTTCAGCACAGCAGAGCACACAGGGCAGGCGCGCAGGGCACGGCAGGCGTGACCGCATCGCACCACACACACACACACACACCACGTCGGAGAGCGTGGCAGGCCCCACATAGAGGGGCACGTGGCAGGCGTGGCACTTTCTCGACACCAGAAGGGGGTGCGCAGGGGGTGGTCTCTCACCGCGGTCTCTATACGCGCCAGTGTCGCAGGGCCTAGCAGGCGTGGCACTTTCTCGACACCAGAGGGGGGTTGCAGGGGGTGGTTTCTCACCGAGGCCCCTATACGCGCCAATGTCGCAGGGCCTAACAAGCGTGGCACTTTCTCGACACCAGAGGGGGTGCGCAGGGGGTGGTCTCTCACCGCGGTCCCTATACGCGCCAATGTCGCAGGGCCTAACAAGCGTGGCACTTTCTCGACACCAGAAGGGGGTGCGCAAGGGGGTGGTCTCTCACCGCGGTCCCTATACGCGCCAATGTCGCAGGGCCTAGCAGGCGTGGCACTTTCTCGACACCAGAAGGGGGTGCGCAGGAGGTGGTCTCTCACCGCGGTCTCTATACGCGCCAATGTCGCAGGGCCTAGCAGGCGTGGCACTTTCTCGACACCAGAGGGGTGCGTATGAGGTGGTCCCTCACTGCAGTCTCTATACGTTCCATTGTCGCAGGGCCTAGCAGGCGTGACACTTTCTCGACACCACTAGCAGGCGTGGCACTTTCTCGACACCAGAGGGGGTGCGCAAGGGGGTAGTCGCTCACCGATGCCCGTAGGCGCGCCAATCGCAGGGCCGAGCAGGCGTGGCACTTTCTCGACACCAGAGGAGGTGCGCAAGGGGGTGGTCTCTCACCACGGCCCCTATACGCGCCAATGTCGCAGGGCCTAGCAGGCGTGGCATTTTCTCGACACCAGAAAGGCGCGCAGGGGGTAGTCTCTCACCGAGGCCCCTATACGCGCCAATGTCGCAGGGCCTAGCAGGCGTGGCACTTTCTCGACACCAGAGGGGGTGCGCACGGGGTGGTTTCTCACCGCAGCCCCTATACGCGCGAATGCCGGGGGGCCTAGCAGGCGTAGCACTTTCTCGACACCAGAGGGGGTGCGCAAGGGAGTGGTCTCTCACCGCGGTCCCTATACGCGCCAATGTCGCAGGGCCTAGCAGGCGTGGCACTTTCTCGATACCAGAGGGGGTGCGCAGGGGGTGGTTCCTCACCGCGGTCTCAATACGCGCCAGTGTCGCAGGGCCTAGCTGGCGTGGTAATTTCTCGACACCAGAGGGGGTGCGCAGGAGGTGGTCCCTCACCGCGGTCTCTATACGCGCCAATGTCGCAAGGCCGAGCAGGTGTGGCACCTTTCGACACCACTAGCAGGCGTTGCACTTTCTCGACACCAGAAGGGGGTGCGCAAGGGGGTTGTCTCTCACCGCGGTCCCTAGACGCGCCAATGTCGCAGGGCCTAGCAGGCGTGGCACTTTCTCGACACCAGAAGGGGGTGCGCAGGGGGTGGTCTCTCACCGCGGTCTCTATACGCGCCAATGTCGCAGGGCCTAGCAGGCGTGGCACTTTCTCGACACCAGAGGGGGTGCGTATGAGGTGGTCCCTCACTGCAGTCTCTATACGTTCCATTGTCGCAGGGCCTAGCAGGCCTATCCGGAGGAGGTGCGCAAGGGGGTGGTCTCTCACCGCGGTCCCTATACGCGCCGATGTGGCGAGGCTCAGCAGGCGTGGCACTTTCTCGACACCAGAAGGGGTGCGCAGGGGGTAGTCTCTCAGCGGCGGGCACAAGGGGCAGGAGTGAGTCGGCTGAGACGGGCAACCAAGGCGGCTCGCAGCGCGGCCGGATTATGTCTGGTTCGCAACTCCTTTGCGCGCGCGGCTCAGAGACTCTCCGTCGAATAGACGCGGGGACAAACGTGGAGACTGCATGAGACAAAGCCAAGAGAAAGTACGCCCGCCTAGGTGAGAAAGGGAGGCATGGGTGCGGGAGAATGCAGCATGAAGGGAGGGAGAAACGATCGCTCTAGAGGCTCCCTAGAGCGATTGCGCAAGGGGTTTGATTGGCATTAGCTTCAACAGTGGGACCCCTGACTAGGCGCGATGTGGCAGATCGTCTTGCATTACCTCATTGCTTTTTACCGCCCCAGGCTACGGCCCTCGGTGACCACCTCGAATCTGTCCTCGATGGAGGGTAGAAGGCTAGGAAGAGGGATGGGATTCATGCAATACGGCGTTGGATGACACATAGGGGAACATTCGCGACGAGGGCTCAGAACGCAGAATTGCGCATATGTTACAAACTTAAGCAAACACATAAGATTTAAATTCAGTGTGTGGGGTTCCTCGGTAGCGTAATTCTCAGGTTTCGAACGTTTTTGTTTTCAGTTTTTGACCGCTTCAGAGAGTTTCAAAAGTTTGCGAGGCCCGTGGCGGTTCCTGTCAGCTGCGCCTCGTCGAGGGTGCCCCTGGTGTGTCCGAATCGCCCCCATCGGCTGCCCGAGGCCCGAGTTATGGCCCCAACGCCGGTCGGATCAGGGGCAACGTAAGAGGAGATATATATATATATATATATATATATATATATATATATATATATGGGCCAATGGGGGGTATATATATATGGGCCAAGTCGACCCCCAGTCGCCCGTTCGTCGCCGAATGGCGGCCTGATAGTCCACCCCTCCCAGGCCCGTGTGGTTTCGCAACCTATGTCGTATCTATCGGCGACGTATCTCCGATACTGGGTCGACGTTCCCCCCCTGAGCAGGTCTCCCCCGAACGTTTTTCCGCAGGAGGGAGGAGGAGGAGGCAGAGGAAGTGGAGGAAGAGGAGCAGGAGGAGACGGATGAGGAAGAGGAGGAGGAGGACGTCATAAGAGGTGGGTTGACTGAAGGGACGGGGGAAGGAGGCGGAGAGAGGAGTGATGAGGAGGAGAGGAGGAAGGCGAAGAGAGGACAAATATAACAAGGAGCAGGGGGCGGAGAGAGGACGGGCTTGGAGGAGAAGGTGTGGCCGAGGAGTTCTCGGATCACACCGTGCGCCAAGGGCCCCCGACCCCCAGGAGGGCGCAGGGCCACAAGGAGGAACAGGGGATGTAGGGAGGGCGGAGGGAAGGCGCAGGGAGGGGAGTAAAGGGAAGGGGCGCGGGCGGGCGAGAGGAGGAGGGTACGACGGCGAAAGGAGGAGGAGGAGGAGGAGGAGGAGGAGGAGGAGGAGGAGGAGGAGGAGGAGGAGGAGGAGGAGCACCGCAAGAGCGAAGGGGGGGGGGGGGGGCGCTCCGCCGGCCGGGCCGCAGGTTGCGGCGCCCGCGTTCTGGCCTGGCCGCGCCGCAGCGGGCCCGTGCGTGCCCAGCGCGGCCACTGCGAGGGCGGGACCCCAGAGATCCAACGCGAAGAGGATGATGCCGCCTCGCAGCAGTGACCGCGATCGGGGCCCTGGGCCCCAAGGCTTGTCCGCGGCGCTCTCCTCGGGCGCGTGCATGTGGGAGTGGCCCTTCGCCGGCGTGCCCTCGCGGTGTGGGCCCGCCAGGGCCACCGCGGTCGCTGCACGCGGTGAGGTAACGAGCAGCGGCCTGCGCGCGATGGGATTTGGCCACATCGCGCCCCGTGGACCCGCGCAGCAGAGGTCACTCTTGCCCAGGGCCGCTCTTGCATGCAGCCGATGGTCGAGCCAGATCGATCCGTGAGGGTCCTGGGGTCCGAAGTCGGGCCGGACGAAAGGGTAAGACAGGAAAGACGGGGGTTGCAAACTGGCGCCAGGACGACCAACCATGTGAGCTGATTCTCTGCCCTGCCCTTTGCTATCCTACTCTTTCGTCCCCCCCCGACCGAAGCTGGGCGGAACCGCCCGTCGTGGCAAAAATGCGGATTGAGGACTCGCCACGTGCGCGGCGGCAGCCGGCGCGCTGGCGATGCGCGGCCGCTCACGGCGCGGGCGCGATAGCGTGGCCGCCCAGCGCGGCGCGGTCGGCGAGGCACCGGGCGGAGCCGGCATCGGTCCTGGCGCCGGCCTGCTGCTCGTGGAGCACCCGAACCTGAACGTGCTGAGCACCGAGGTTCAATGCGGGGCCCGAACACATACACCAGCAGCACCTCCCTCACCCCCTCCCTCTCCCAGGAGAGAGGGGACAAGAGGAGGCTAGAGGAGTGAGGGGTAATGGAGGATAATGGAGGTGGTGGTGGTGGTGTATATTCTTGGGACCCATATGTGCAGTGGTGGAGCGTCCTGACTTGCCTACTGTCCCAGCGACACGTGAAAGCGAAACTCCGAAAACAGCGAGTTTCGGACCCGACAAGTTAATTTCGAAAGACAACGAGCCCCGCACCAAGCGAAGTTATCTAGCGAGAAAGCGAAAACGCTGAGCGGCCGCAGAGATAAAGTTAGGAATGCCGCATTGCAGCAGCATGGTTCGTTCACGCAGTCCACGCCCTATCCTTTCGCGTCGGCATGGCGCAATCTTACGAGCACAAAAAACAATTCACAAACAAGTGCATGCTGTCGCAAATACAACGGGCAAATATAGTCCTCTCTCTACTCGTACCACTACCACAACTACTAGAACTACTTGTATTTCTACGCCTCCTTTACTACTACTACTACTACTACTACTACTACTACTACTACTACTACTACTACTACTACTGCTACTGCTACTACTACTACTACTACTACTACTACTACTACTACTACTACTACTACTACTACTACTACTACTACTACTACTACTACACTACTACTACTACTACTACTACTACTACTACTACTACTACTACTACTACTACTACTACTACTACTACTACTACTACTACTACTACTACTACTACTACTACTACTGCCTACTACTCCTACCAGTAGTAGTATACTACTACCACTACCACTACCACTACTAGTACTACTACAACTACTACTACTACTACTACTACTACTACTGCTACTACTACTACTACTACTACTACTACTACTACGACTCCTAGTACTACTATTACCACTACTACGACGACGACTACTACGACGACTACTACTTCTACTGCTATTAGTAGTAATACTAATAGAACTTTTACGACTACAACGCCTACTACGATTACTTCTACTACTATTGTCACGACTACCACTACTAGTATTATTACTACTACTACTACTACCATTATTACTACTAAGACGCTTTCTGATTATACGAATATTATGTCTGATACTGATACGACCCCCGCTGGTATTTCTTCTCTTGGTTCTCAAAATTTGAATGTGACCACTACGACTGCTACTATCACTACTACCGTTTTTTACTACCGTTACTGCTACTACTACTACTACTACTACTACTACTACTACTACTACTACTACTACTACTACTACTACTACTACTACTACTACTACTACTACTACTAGTACTACTACTACTACTACTACTACTACTACTACTACTACTACTACTACTACTACTACTTACTACTACTACTACTACTACTACTACTACTACTACTACTACTACTACTACTACTACTACTACTACTACTACTACTACTACTACTACTACTACTACTACTACTACTACTACTACTACTACTACTACTACTACTACTACTACTACTACTACTACTACTACAAATACCACTGCTACTACTACTAATACTACTACTACTACATCTACTAATGATACTATTTCTATTGATTCCTCGACTTCATTCTCTACACTTACTACGGCGATGACGCTTTATGATTACAATCGTTAGCTAAAAGTAGGAATACTGGTATATTTATGTTTGCTACATTTGCTACAACACAGCGCTCGATCTCACACGGTGACCACTACTACTACTACTACTACTACTACTACTACTACTACTAATGCGAATACTATTACCAATACTAGTACCACTACTACCATGACTACGACTACGACTACTACTAGTACTACTACTACTACTACTACTACTACTACTACTTACTACTACTACTACTACTACTACTACTGCTACTACTATTACTTTCACTCCTACTGCTACTACTATTATTACTACTGGTACTACTCCTACGACTACTACTGGTACTACTACGACTACTACTACTCCTACTATTACTACTACTACTACTACTACTACTACTACTACTACTACTACTACTACGACTACTACGACTACTACGACTACTACTACCACTACTACAACTACTACGACTATTACCTTATGTTACCACCACTACTACGATCACTATTACTACTACTACTACTACTACTACTACTACCACTACTACTACTACTACTACTACTACTACTACTACTACTACTACTACTACAACTACTACTACTAATAGTGATAATAGCAACTGGCTTTCTTCCCCCCGCAAGTGCCCGCGACAGCGCGCACACTCGCATGAAGCTGAGTACCGGTAGCATGCCAATGTTTCCATCAGAACGCATACGCATATGAGGAGTAATGCGAGAGGTGAACATGCACATCCAAACCAATATAGTATTTCATCTGGTTTCAGGAACAATCAGATGCAATGTTATGTTGGTTTGGGTGTGTGTGTGTGTGCGGTTGTGCGTGGCTGTGTGCACGTCCGCGTGTGTATGCAAGGTGCGTGCTGGGCGGGCGGGATGGGGCGCCCGAGTCAAACGGCCACGCCGCTTCAGTTCAAACGGCCATGTTTCGCGCCCCGTTGCATGATAGGGTTTCTTGGAGTGGGTATGGCCGCGATTAGGATGATGATAAGAGTAATGATAGGCAGCTTGGAGTGCTCTTGGGCGCTCTTCGGACGCCAGAGCGGTTTCAAAACGAAGCGAACAAGTAGAACGCATTCGGGAATCTGATGCTATGAGGGTGTCCCGAGCGAAAT